GCACTCCCATGCTCATTGAGAGTGGTATGAACTGTTGTGATAGTCATAGTGTTGAGATAAGGTTGAGACGTCAGAGAGTGAAGCGAACCTAGGAAGACAGGAACGTCGAAGAGACTATTTATATGTCGTTTCGTACGTACGAACTATGCTTAGGCGGCCCGGCCTGAAATGTGGAGTATGGGTGGCCAACTGACCAAAAACAATGTGGGGAAGGGCCCCGAGCAGAGGGTCAGCATGTGGCTGTGCTCGATTCGAATGCGATCATCTCCTACTTATATTTAGATTTTGCCAACCTATTCCGACTCCATATCAGAGGACAGTCAAGACGGTAAAACGATCCGGATACGGACCGCTACTGTCCCGGAACCCCTTCCGCAGAACCCTCATCAGTATTTGAAGCAGCAGCATCCGCGGTATACGTTTCCCTTGTCACCATGCCCGCAGTAACCTTCAAAGCGAGATCCATCACAGAACTTATCGCAATCCGTGCACGAGACCAGCCGAATGATCCTGCTATCTATACGGGGTCGCCTGAGGACGGTTCTGGCATAGTATTACGCTCGCTCACGTACCTTTGATTTCTCTCTCTCTCTTGACTCGCGCTGATACTCGTGTAGATTTGCCCAAATCCAGTCCGCCGTTGACCGCCTTGCATGGTACTACTCTTCCCTTGGCCTCGCGCCAAAGACGGTCTTGGGCGAGGTACCTCCCGTGCAGACCATCGCTGTCTTGACAAGCACAGCAATCGACGAATCCTTCCTAGAGATGGCCCTCGCAAAGCTCGGTCTGACCGCCCTTCTTCTCTCAGTGAACAACTCCGTTCCAGCAGTCGCGCATCTCACCAAGCTCACCAACGCTACCCACCTTATCTACGGCGCGAAATTCGTCCAAGAAGCACACGACGCGCAGAAGCTCCTTCGCAACGAAGGATACACGGTGGAGCTAGTCGAAGATAAACGTTTCCCTTTGTGGGGTCCCGACGGCGTCGAGAGCACCAAGACCAAACCCTTCCCAGCCACCCTGACACCAGAACAGGAGAGCAAACGACCTGCCGTCATTCTGCACTCTTCTGGCTCAGTAAGTCCTGTCCTCCTGCTTTCCACTATCTTGACCTTTCATTCCTAGACCGGGTTCCCTAAACCAGTCCGCATTACCCACTATGGTCTCATTGCGAATGTCGCGTTGAACCAGAACAAGCCAGGTTTCAGTACTCTGCCCGTGTTCCATGGATACGGTCACTTTGCTGTGTCAGTTTCTCTGCTTTGTGATTCATCGACAAAAACTGACTTACCCGATTAGATTCCGATGTATCTATCCTGGTCAACCGCTGACGCTCTTCCCGCCTCATCTACCTCTAACATCTAGTAACATCTGTACCGTACTCGCTGTCTCTCCTCCTGTGCGACAATGTTATGCTGTACCATATGTCATTAAGGTCTTATTTCCCTTCAGGCTTCCTATAGAGCTTGCGCTCAAGACAATTATTGTAGCTCCTCGCGGAAACGCCTGAAGGCGTCAATGCCCTAGCCAGTTTCGATATCGTCGGATATGCAGGTGCTCCTCTCCCCGTAGGCTCCTTACTTGTCCACCCCCACCTCCATTTTTCATCCTTTGTGCAACCAGGATGATCTCGGTGACAGGCTCATTCAAGCCGGAGTGAACTTGCTTAGTATCTACGGAACAACAGAGGTAAGAATCGTTCTACCCAACGATAAACCCGGCTCACCTATTGCAGACCGGATCTCTGATGAACTCCAACCGCGACTTCGCAACCGACAAACTCTGGAACTGGACTCGCCCTCTCCCCGGTTCAGTCAACTACCTCGTTTGGGAACCACAAGGTGGCGACACCTTTGAAGTTATCGTCAAGGACGGGTATCCTCCCAAGGTTTGCTAAGCCATTCCCCGACATTGGGATAAGCCATTTTAGCCATTCCTAGATCGAGACTAACCGCCCGGACGGATCCTACGCGACCAAGGACCTATTCCTCCGACATCCCGAGCGCAAGGACTTGTACAAATACATCGGACGGCTTGATGATACGCTCGTCCATATCCTCGGAGAGAAGACCAACCCCGGTAAGGATCTTACTAGCCATCCTATCATTGCTGATGAGCGACAGTCCCCATGGAACTCTGTATCCGAGGAAACAGTCCATACGTCGCGGAAGGTAAAGCCAGTGTTCTTCCTAGCCCCCTTCCCACTAACGCTTCCCCAGCCATCGTCTTCGGGGCCGGAAAACCCCAAACAGGATGCCTAATCCTCCCCTCCGACCTTGCACATGAAGAGGGTCTCTCTCGAGAAGACCTCATGTCCCAAGTCTGGCCCGTTATCGAGCAAGCCAACGCAGAAGCACCAACGCATTCGCGGTTGCTACCCGAGATGGTAGAGTTCTTGCCGTACGTGTCCATATGCGGTTTTACGAGGCGGGAACTGATAGAAAGAACCGTACAGGTATGGTACGCATATCCCGGTGGCCACCAAGATGAGCATACTCCGACCGGCGTGTTATACAAAGTTCAAGGACCTCATAGGTACGAGTCGCGTTCATACTGGATCCATCATGATCGACCGATTTTTCAGAAAGCATCTACGCCCGGTTCGACCAGACCGACGTCGAAGTGGAGAAGAAGACGCTACCGCGGGAGGAGCTGGAGGCGTACATCTTTGCTACGATCGCTAAAGTCCTTGGTCCCAGTCGCTCGGCGAAGCTCGATAGAAAAGTAGATCTCTTCGCGTTTGGTGTAGACTCGTTACAGGCAACGAGGATACGAAATAGTTTGCAGAAGGAGCTTGAGTTGGGGACTCATAGCCTTGGACAGACAGGTAAGAGAGAACGTTCTACTTCAAGAAGGATGAAAGACTCACAGTTGGCCTACTAGTGGTATATGAACATCCGTCGGTGGAGAAGTGTGTCCAGTTTTCCCTGACTGGGGCCCTGCTATTGACACTTTACCAGACTTGCCGGGTATATCCTTCAACTACAGAGCGGTCATACTCAAGTAGTGGGCAGTGGGCACGAAGCCGTGATGCTGACATTGCTTGATAAATGGAGTGCCGAGGTAGGTACGCATACAGCCAGAGCTAATGCTCCTCCGAAGCCTACCGACGCACGCGTAATCGTAAGCCCAGACTCCTTGCACCTCAGAACAAAAGAGACTCACTCTACTCATGCATAGCTCCTCACCGGCGCAACGGGATCCCTCGGCGCCCATATTCTTTCTCAATTAACAGCATCCTCTTCCGTTCGAAAGGTCGTCTGTTTGTCCCGTGCCAAGTCTCACGCCGAATCTCTGGAACGTATCAGACAGTCGGTCACTGCCCGAAAGGTCTCTGTCGACGAAGCCAAGGTCACGTCATACGCAGCAAACGCTAACGAGCCTCTCCTCGGGTTGACGAAAGAAGAGTACAACGCTCTACGGGACGAGGTGACGGACGTTATCCACGTACGTCACACCTTCGCCCTCCTTTTGTGTCGTGATATTCACTGTGACACACAAACAGAACGCCTGGCCCGTCAACTTCGTACTCAACATCGAGTCTTATGACTCGCACATCGGTGGCGCGGTGAACCTAATCAACTTGTGCCTTGAATCGCCCTTCACCGAGCCTGCGTCGTTCGCGTTCAGTTCGTCCATCAGCTGTAGACAGGGATCGAGGGACGCGACGTGTTCAGAGGGCTTTTCCACTTCACTGTCGACAGCTGCGGGGACGGGGTACGCGCAGAGCAAATGGGTCGTGGAGAAGCTGTGTGAGCGCGCGGCAGAGAAGAGTGGGGTACCGGTGTCCGTTCTGCGGATAGGCCAGATGGTCGGGGATTCTGTGCAGTGGGTGGTTTCGGCATTGAGAAATGAGTGTATGCTGACCTTCTCCTTTGAAGCGGTGTCTGGAATGAAACGGAGGCGTGGCCGTTGATGTTCAAAAGCGCGAATACTGTAGGCGCGCTTCCTGTGGTTGACGAAAATCCCTCGTGGTTACCTGTAGATTTCGCCGGGAAGAGTATAGTGGAGGTCGTGTTGAACGCGACGAAGCCCGCTACGGCTGTGTACCATATCGTGAATCCCAACACGTCGGCGCATTGGAAGGATATTCTTGGTGGATTAGAAGCTTCCGGTGTGAGCTTCGAGCGCGTGGATAAGAACGAGTGGGTGGAGAGGCTAGCGAAGTCGGATGAGGACGGGAAGAAGAACCCGACCATCAAGTTGCTGGTGAGTAGCGTCCGTAAAGATTGGCGATAGGTTACTCACGCGTTGTATGGCAGCCGTTCTTCCGTATGAGATACGGGCCGTCCCATAGGAAGCCAATGGTATTCTTGACAGAGGAGACGACCAAGGTCGCGCCCATTTTAAAGAAGGCACCGGCGGTCAACAGGGAGCTTGTGGCGAAATGGGTGGCACACTGGCGAGAGACTGGATTTATCAACTGAATAGAAGAGCCTGAACTGTGTAAGATATAGAGAAGATACCGGTAGAGAATTGGATATATACCTCATCTTCAGCCCAGGATCTCTCCACGGGATTGAAAGCAGATTCCTCCGTCAGATGAAGACGCACGGCACCTTTCATGCTGACATTGAAGTTCCCAAGAGCATGCTGGAGACCGCACCGAGACATGACGCTTTCGTAAACGTGTCTTTGCACGTCGTAGTAAACCGAAATGGGGCACGCGAACCTGATTCTTGTGCGACAGAAGAGGTATTAGCGAACAGTATCGATCAAGAGTACATAACGAGGCTTGCTCGAACGTCTTCGGGGTTGTCGCTCTTGGGTTCCTCTATGCGATGGTGGTATCGACACGGGATTTATATACGCGTCTCATGGGTTGCGTTCGACGGTTCATCTCTATGATCGAGTCAGTGTAAGAAACAAGGAGTGGAATGATTTCATACAATCTGGCACCGATATATTTCTTCAGCTTCTACTACATAGTCGTCTTTTCGATGATGATGCAGAGAAGATATCTCAAAGTGTCATGTAATATTCAAGAGAGTCTTTGTTGAGGCACTATAGCCAAGTGGTTAAGGCGACAGATTAGAATAATGCATATTGCAATATCTTTATCATTATCTGTTACTCTCTGAGTGCGCAGGTTCCAATCCTGCTGGTGTCGTCACTGAATTGATTCTACTTTTGTTTTGATACTGATTGCTAGCAGCTACTTAGTAGTAGATTAGATAGTAGATACTGAGTGTGTCTTTTTTTAGGTGGACAGTAGGGTAGCGCACGAAACCTAGGTTAATTACACTGGACAATGGGTCTTTATGGGAGTTCTTCAATGTTAATATCTTCAGTTTTCTCGTCGTGGTTATTGTCTGGAGAGCCAGCAAAACAGACATCGGAGTAGTGACGTTCCAGTGGTCAGTGGTCAGTGGCTGTGTCATATATCTTTCTTATTCACTACCACACAGACCGGCCGTTCCCAATGCACCACAATCTTTTTCAGCCGTCACCGGTCACCGGTCATCATCTTACCTGTGTGATTTATGTAAATCATCCGACTACTCGTTCTTTCCTCCTTCGAGTCACAATTGACGCGGCAGTATGGCAAGCATTTGTGTTTCATCTGAGCTCGGCTGTGAGGTAATGCAGGATGGTCGTGCCTTCGCTGGTATTGAGGTCCGGGATGCGTGTAGCACCGGACTTTGGCCCGAAAAAATGGCCGCGGTTATTTTGTTTTTACTTGCTGTAATCGCCGGATAAGCGACCGGTATTCAGCTTATACTGTCATTACCGTTATTTGTCGTAATACAGGGTGTAATCTCCCGATATCCTTGGTGAATTATGAGTACGACTTCGCAATTTTTCTCAAGTCATGGCTTTTCCTAGGGTATCGATTTGCCGCGTCACGCGTCACCTTTGACCGCAACCGCGCCCATGTGCCACGTCACGCGTCGTCTTTGACCACAACCACCACCTCTACCCTCCTCTACCTCGACCTCTACCTCGACCGCCTTGGAATGCACGCCGGGTCCCCTCGCTCGTCTACTGCGGGTATTTTCACTCGTATTGAATGCACAGATACAGTAGACCCAACCCTAAGAAGCAATTTCCAAGAGGAAGCACGGCCACGCCACGAGCCAGGAAATTGCATGTAGACGGTAAGCCTTTCAGTATTTCCAGTTGACTGCCTCATGATTCTTGTAGGTCTTTTGGAGTAGCGGTAGGTTTATGCTGGTGAAGACAGTTCTGGTATGTGTCGACATCGGCGGTGACTGGTGACGGCTTTAACAGCTTTTGAACAACTTCTACGATGACTAGGGCAGCACGGCAGCAGCGATGACGAAGATTAAGGGGGTATACGAGAGCGGTTCTTGCCCTCCGATGGAGAGTCGAAGATATGGAGTCGATATACACTGGGAGCGACTCCGTGACAACGTGAGGTTCCTGACTGGGATCTCAACAGACAGTCAATTCTTGGCGGTATTGATAGCGGGTCATGAGAAGGTGAGTTCTTGGGAGATTCTGGATATACGAGCTGACTTCGTCGATGCAACAGGTTGATCCCTGACTGAGTATATGCGCGCTCAAAAAGGCCCATGCCACGCAGATGTACGAATTCCGCCGAATGTAACAGTATAGGGATATTCCCAAGAGCTGTCATGCTCTCATGGCGCCCTCTGGAATCAGTCACGGTAAGTGTTGGTGAGATGCTTGTATGCGCCTAATCGATACATCTCAACAGTTGGACATCCTGCTCTTCCTTGGCGGCCCAATATTCAAGCTCATTCAATGCCTCCCAGCCATGCATTCTCGTAGTCCATTTTGCGCGGTGGTATGTCTTTTCTCGTCCTTGGCATTTGATATCTGCTGATTCTACTTTTTTTCTGGTGTTTCTAGTCGCCGGGGGACTGTCGCTTCTGTGCCGACTTCGATGGCGGTCTTGATTCTTATGGGGAGGTGATGATGTAGGTATCAACCAGTGTCTGTAGCTCATGTGTATTATAGTTGCGTAGAGTTCACAATACATGGTGCTTATTCTTCTTAGTATGACCTAGTCAATAAGCCTGTTGTCTATATGTAGAATAATTGCCCGACTATATAAGAACATTATCCAGCTTATATTGACGAATTAGGTGGTCTAAAAGGCGAATAATATAGAGGCGGTTATTTCAAAGTGATCCGGTGATTATAATTCGTTTATAGGGTGTAACCGCCTTATAATAGCTATCGATTTTTCGGGGCAAAGTCCGGTGTAGGCCCAAGTGGAAGGATAATACGTACGGCCTGAATTCGGTGCAAGTCCCGCATAGCTCAGCAGAAGACTCGGCATAGAAATCTTGGTACGGGAATTCTGCTTTTGGAGTCGCTTATGCACATCTATAGGTGCTAATGCGACCTCGGACCTTCTATGATTGTCACCGTTCAGCTTTAGATTCCGCTTGATCGTCAACATTTCACCATACTCTACTCAGTTTCGCGTGTATCTTACCCAATCGGACTCCGAAGGAAATTCGTAACAAACAGCGTGCCACCGCACCCACTCGAAGTGCAATCTCACGCATATACTTCATCTCTCACCCACCATTTTTGATCTGTCCATTGACTCCATTCCGGTTCGCACCCTCGTCTCGCTCAGTACCCGCCCGGTCGCAACAATATCAACTCGATCCCTCGTTCGCCGTCGAGAACAATCCTCTCCTGTCTCCTTCGACTCCTCACCCCACTCTCGCTCCGCTACTCCCTCGCCTGGGCATGACCTAGTAGGTTAATACACGGATGAACCAGGTTCGAGTCCTGGAGGTGAACTCGCCATGGAAGAACGTTTTTTCTTGCTTGGCTGCTTGGCCTCAATGTCGAAGTTTCGGTATTGCTTCGAGATCTCGGCCCATTCGAAGACACCGTCCGGAGACGGGATAGGGAAGATGGCGAGCTCAGACGTTTATTCCCTTCGAACGTCCGACTCTTCCCGATGACCTCTATTCTCTACGATGCAGAACGAGATGGCTGGTGTCATTTGTTTCTCTACCAGTCCATCGTAGCCCAGTGGATGTGCGTAATGCAACGGGTTCGATTCCTGGGGGTGAAATGTTGTAGAAACTCTAATTTTTGACTGCCACGTTATCGATAATGCTTGAACGTAACGTTCATATTCTGCGTTGGATTTTTGGTCATAGGCTTTTCTACTGCCCCATTTTCCATGTGGTAGAGGTCCTCGTCTGTCTTTTTGCCTGTTGGGCGTGTGCTATGTTGTCTGATGAATTCTTTGACTGTCGCCCCGTCCACCTTAGGCTCCGGGGAGAAGGTTACAGACGAGGAGATCGTTGGGAAAGGGCCACAGGACAAGGCGCAGTATCAAGGACGACGCGCTCGATGTTCAGGCTTGGGCATATGCCTGTGACAATGCTTCGTTGACGTCATCCCTAGTACTCTCGGCACGGGACATACAGCTTAGTTGGTCTTGTGTGATGCACCAGGTTCGACTCCTGGAGGTGAAATTAGCTGATGGCGTATATTTTGGTTGTGCTTTTCCTACTCGAGCGTGGGATTTATTGATACTATGTCTTCTGCTCAGTGCTTCAGGACTATGGATGGTATCCAGGTTCGGTGATGAATAAATCGGGACCGTGGGTTTCAGAAAGCGGTCGGAAGAAGAGCAGGATGCCCACTTTTAATTCGGAGAGACGCCAACATGTAGGCTCCAACTCGCCTATCCACAGGTTATTCTGCTTGTTCTTTCCGTAGACCCTCAGATCCTTCGCGAGATTATGGCGTTGCCAATGTTATCGCTGTCCGTGAGTGCTCCGCTCCACTACATCCACCTTAAAGTCTAACGAGACCAAAGTCAATGTACGCACTCGATTGTATGGTCGTGGATACTTTGAGGGCATTGTACCTTTGTTTTGACCGCTCTCTTGTTTACAGGTCGGCATGTATAAGTTGCGCCCAGTAGCCTAGCGTGTTCACACAACCGCACCAGGTTCGAGTCCTGGAGGTGAATTCCACCAGCTTGTTATGATTTTGCACGTTTGTCCTGCCTCTTTCCTCGACACAGACTTCACCAGTTTTCATTCACATATATTAGAGGAATGGCCTTACGTTCAGCGTCGTTGTATAGCCATCGGCCAGAAGGGCTATACAGAGTGTGCATAGCTAGAGAGCTCATAGATCGTAGGGCAGTTCTCTTGATTCAAACGTTTGAATACGGCACGAGTCGGAGCATACTTACATGACGGTGACTAGGAGAAAAGGCCCGGAAAGTCGGTGACCGGGCCGAATGCCGGTCAACATCCAACCTTGTTCCTGCATCCATGTCCAGCAAAACTGACTCGAATTTCTCATAATTTCTGTTACTCGCGCCTTTGCCATGGACATTGGACATAAATGACACGTTAAGGACGAGTCTTTTCGGACGCGATTCTTTTTCCAACTTCTTTCCCTCTTATCCTGCGACCGTCGCGTCATGCCAGACCCAGTTGGAATACGCTTCCATCGACCATAGAGGAGATGGGCAGAAGGAATCCAGCACTGGAAGAAGGACGAGGAGGACGGGGTTCTCAACGGTTGGTTGTTCATGTACGGCCCCCGTTTATCAGCCCTTTTTTCTCCGGTTCTGGAATTGTCTTCTGCAGGGAGAGCTACCCGTCTATGGGCAACGATGCTGTTCTTCGCATCTCGACTTGGAATACCCTCTTGGGGTGCAGCTCTCTCGGATATGATCCTTCCTCGGGAATGTCATTCTCCCTGATGCGTCTTCTTAGAGACCGTTTTGATGGACGTTCGAGCACAAGTCTCCCCGCATTCTTTTTTCTTTCTACTTTTGGCTTGGGAGAGAAGTAGGCCTAGGACTCATAGGTCTCAGAGAAGATTTCTAGCAAGATACATTGTCTGCGTCACTGCGCTACTCCCGTCCGGGTTTTCTCATTCTTCATTCACACTCGTAGTGTATCGCCTATTGTCGTACGCATGCCTCATGTTGAAGGTACTATGTCCATAGAGTCCACATGTCCCGTTTAACTCTGCCCCGGGGCGTACCAAACTCGGCATGGGGAAAGGGGATCACTCGATGGCCACTTTCGTTGAAGCCATCGGCGACTGTTTTCCTTAAAAAATGTTCCGGTGGCCACTGGCGACTGGCATAGATGCTCTCATCTGCTGCTGGTACCGTACTAC